CTGCTGGCGGCCATGGCCACCGCCGAGCCGCTGGGGTAGCCGACCTTGAGCAGCCGCTCCGCCGTCACCTCGTAGAAGCTCGTCTCGAGGACGGTGACGCAGTGGTTGAGCAGGGCGAGGAGGACGTTCAGCGAGCCGCAGGAGATGGACCGCTTGAGGCACTTCTTGAGGATGAAGAAGATGTCGTCGAGCATGCTCGAGGTCAGTGGGGCGGAAACATTTCCACCACCTTCCTTAGACGTCTCCAGGTCGACGGTGTCAAGTTGAATGGCCTTGAGGACGGACTCCTTCAGGTAGTACTCCTCGAGGAGGACGTAGGTGGAGTTGAGGTCGTGCAGCAGCTGCGTGAGCATGCACTCGCGCAGGAGGGCGTCCACGGCCTGCTTCTGCGATGAGCTGCTGCTTTTGTTGACAGTGGTAATACTCTTCTCAGACGAAGATTCACCGCCTTCCTTGACTGAGCGANACGGCCTGCTTCTGCGATGAGCTGCTGCTTTTGTTGACAGTGGTAATACTCTTCTCAGACGAAGATTCACCGCCTTCCTTGACTGAGCGATTGAGCGCCGCCGCCTCAATGTCCGCCTGCAGGTGGCCGCCCACGAAGTTGAGGTACGTCTGACTGCGATTGATCAGGTACATGATGTCCACCAGGTGCTTGTCGATCTCCTTCGCGTCCAGGGCCGGGGAAGCACCGCTACCGGAGCTTCCACTGCTCTCCTTGCTGCTTCCCACCATTCCAGCCATGGAGCTCATCTGCTTCAGGTGGCGGGAGATGGTGAGGGAGAGGGCGGCAAAGTTCTTCTCCGCCTTGAACTCGCTGATGATGGCGGCGGACTGGCGGTCGCACTCCGCCTGCAGGACTAGGACGACGGGCAGCAGGTTGCCCGGGCCGTAGTACGTCTCGATGAGCGGGTAGTGGACGTCCACGGTGCGGGCGATGGTTTCGAAGAGGGCGGAGAGCTTCTCGAGATAGGCGGCGGCTCGGTTGCCGCCGCTTGAAATATTTGCCCCAGCAGCGGCCGCATTTGCCTTCTTCTTCGCCGCCATCTGCTCGCTGATCTGCGCGCAGAGGTAGGCGGCGTACTTGCGCAGGCCTTCCTCCTGCTGGCCGATGAGGGGGAAGATCTTGAAGAAGCGCTCCACCGAGGCGAGGTCCCGGTCGGCGACCGCTTCGTCGAAACGGGCGGAGACGATCGTCTTCAGGCGGCGTTCCGCCTCGTGCAGCTTCGCAAAGGACTGCTCCAGGGAGCAGGTGTCGAGGATGAGCGAGTCAGTTCCGCCGCCGCTTCCTTTGGAGTCCTCGGCGAGGGCCGACCGGCGCAGCATCGACTCGTCCATGGCGAGGAAGCGGTAGATGAGGCGGGCGGCCACCTCGTACTCCTCGCCCATCAGCGCCTTCTGGATGCCCTCGGTGCAGGCGCGCAGGTCGATGATGTCCTCCACCTGCTGCAGGCACTGTCCCACCCGCCCCTTCACCGCGTCGAAGGCGCGAATCTTCCCGCTCACCGTGTCCGCCAGCGCCGCCGTGAAGTCCATCAGGCTGGCCAGTCGCTCCGCATCGCTGCCGATCAGGCCGATGTGGGCGAGGTGCTTGGGCGAGGCCAGCTGGCCCATCAGCAGCGTCTGCAGGTGCTCCACCTCGCCGTCCAGCAGGCCGTCCACCTCCGCCTCGAGGGTCGCCTCCTCGGCGGACAGCTGCGACAGCTTCGCCTGCAGCTCGGCGGTGGCCTCAGCCTCGATGGCTTCGAGGTTCTGCTGCTGCGTTTCGAAGTTCATCATTGGAGGGTCATAAAAAAACAGGAGAAGAAGGAGTTGTCGCTGTCCGTCAGTTCGAAGTGTGAAAATGAAACGTAAACAAAACTTTTACCGCGGCGGCGTCGTCTACATCAGTGAGGCTCAAGTGCTGTAAAATAGTCGACGCCGGTGCAGAAAAATCAGAGTGAGGCAACTGCTGCCGGTACTGCTTGTTAGGAGGAGCTTACCTGCAAAAACGAGCACTGTCGAAGGTAGGTTTTACTCCGCCTTCTTTTGCTTTTAGCAGTCACGATGCCGCCCCCAGCATAAAGAACGGAACGTCCATGTTTCTTCTGCAGCAGCAGCAGCAGAACACGCGTTTTGTTGTTTTCTCAGTTGACCACCACCACTTTTTGCGCCCATTTTTCTCCCGGTGATTCTTCCAAGATTCTGGTGGATTCTAAATTCTCAGTACTTCGCCTTCACCGGGACCGCCAGGATGCATCTGTACAATCTGACGTTGCAGCGGGCGTCGCACGTCACGATTGCCGTGCAGGGCAACTTCGCCGGCACCAAGCAGCAGGAGATCGCCCTGGCGAAGGGTCGCATCCTCGAGCTGGTCCGCCCTGACCCGGCCACCGGCAAGGTCCACTCCGTCCTCTCGGTGGACATCTTCGGCACCATTCGCTCGATGATCGCCTTCCGCCTGACGGGCGGCTCCAAGGACTACCTGGTGATCGGCTCCGACTCGGGGCGGATCGTCATCCTCGAGTACATTCCGGCGAAGAACTGCTTCGACAAGGTAAGTGCTGTTTTTGTTGCTTAGTTTTTGTTTCTACTTTACTCATTGCTTTCTATCAGGTCCACCAGGAGACGTACGGGAAGAGCGGCTGCCGGCGCATCGTGCCCGGCCAGTTCCTCGCCATTGACCCGAAGGGGCGCGCGGTGATGCTGAGCGCCGTGGAGAAGCAGAAGCTGGTGTACATTCTTAATCGAGACACCGCCGCCCGCCTCACCATCTCCTCGCCGCTGGAGGCGCACAAGTCGAACACNACGTCGGCTTCGAAAACCCCATGTTCGCCTGCCTCGAGATGGACTACGAGGACGCGGACACCGATCCGACGGGCGAGGCAGCGGCGCAGACCACCCAGTCGCTTACCTTCTACGAGCTGGACCTGGGGCTGAACCACGTCGTGCGGAAGTACAGCGAGTCGCTGGAGGAGCACGGCAACTTCCTCATCGCCGTCCCCGGCGGCTCCGACGGCCCCTCCGGCGTGCTGATCTGCTCCGAGAACTACATCACCTACAAGAACTTTGGCGACCAGCCGGACATTCGGTGTCCGATTCCGCGGCGGCAGCACGACCTCGACGACCCCGACCGCGGCATGATCTTCGTCTGCAGCGCCTCGCACAAGACCAAGTCGATGTTCTTCTTTCTGGCGCAGACTGAACAGGGCGACATCTTCAAGATCACCCTCGAGGTGGAGGAGGACATTGTGACGGAGCTGAAGATCAAGTACTTTGACACGGTGCCGGTGGCCACCAGCCTCTGCGTCCTCCGCACCGGCTTCCTCTTTGTGGCGGCGGAGTTCGGCAACCACTACCTCTACCAGATTGTCCACCTGGGAGACAACGACAACGAGCCGGAGTTTAGCAGCAGCAGTCCGCTGAACGAGGGCGAGACCTTCTACTTTGCGCCCCGAACCCTGAAGAACCTCATACTGGTGGACGAGCTCGAGTCGCTGTCGCCGATCATGCACTCCACCGTGGCCGACGTCGCCAACGAGGACACGCCGCAGGTGTTGATGGCCTGCGGCCGTGGCCCCCGCTCCACCTTTCGCGTCCTCCGCCACGGCCTGGAGGTGAGCGAGATGGCAGTGAGCGAGCTGCCGGGCAACCCGAACTCAGTGTGGACGGTGCGGCGGCGGGCCGATGACCGCTTCGACTCCTACATTGTCGTCTCCTTCAGCAACGCCACGCTGGTGCTCTCCATTGGCGAGACCGTGGAGGAGATCACCGACTCGGGCTTCCTCGGCACGACGCCCACCATCTGCTGCGCCCAGATTGGCGAGGACGCCCTGGTGCAGGTCTATCCGGACGGCATTCGCCACATTAGGGCGGACCGGCGGGTGAACGAGTGGCGGGCGCCGGGCAGGAAGGCCATCGTCCGGTGCGCCCTGAACGCCAAGCAGGTGGTGATTGCCCTCAGCGGCGGGGAGATTGTCTACTTTGAGATGGACGCCAGCGGGCAGCTGAACGAGTACACCGAGCGGAAGGACATGAACTGCGAGGTGATCTGCATGGCGCTGGGCGATGTGCCGCCCGGTGAGCAGCGCTGCCGATTTCTGGCCACCGGGCTGGCGGACAATACGGTGAGGATTATCTCGCTGGATCCGGCGGTAAGTTATTTTTTTGCTTTTGTTTGTTTTCTAAGCTAAACTTTTTCTTTTTTATCACTAGGAATGCCTGACGCCGCTGTCGATGCAGGCGCTGCCCGCCCGCGCCGAGTCGCTCTCCATCGTGCAGATGGGCCTCAACCGGTCCGATGAGAAGCGCCTCTTTGGCGGGAAGCTCTACCTGAACGTCGGCCTGCAGAACGGCGTCCACCTGCGCACCGTCCTCGACGAGAACACCGGCGACCTGTCGGACACGCGGACGCGCTACCTCGGCACAAGGCCCATCAAGCTCTTTCAGGTGGTGATGCAGGGGAAGGACTCGCTGCTGGCGCTGAGCAGTCGCAGCTGGCTGTGCTACTACCACCAAAATCGCTTCCACCTGACACCCCTTTCCTACGAGCCGCTGGAGTACGCCGCCGGCTTCAGCTCGGAGCAGTGTCCGGAGGGCATTGTGGCCATCAGCGGTAATACGCTGCGCATTTTGGCGCTGGAGAACCTCGGCAACGTCTTCAACCAGCAGTCCTTTCCGCTGACGTACACGCCGCGCAAGTTTGCCGTCCACCCGGAGACGGGCTACATTGTGCTGATTGAGTCCGACCACAATGCCCTCACGGCGGCGGAGAAGGCGGCGAGGAGGAGGGCGGTGGCCAATGAGATGATTGCTGAGGCGGCGGCCACCGGGACGGAAGAGGAGCGGCTGGCGGCTTCGGAGGCTGCGAACGCCTACCTCGCAGAGGAGGACCACCTCCCGGAGGCGGTGTACGGCTCGCCGAAGCCTGGGGCGGACCGGTGGGCGTCGCTGGTGCGCGTCCTGCACCCGATCACCGGGCGGACGCTGGAGCTGGTGTCGCTGGAGCAGGACGAGGCGGCGGTCAGCCTGGCCCTCTGCCGCTTCAGCAGCGCCGCCGCCAGCAAGGACGCCGGCTGCTACTACGTGCTGGTAGGCGTCGCCCGGCGGATGCGCCTGCTGGACCGGGCGCACCAGGGCTGCGAGGTCCTGACCTTCCGCTTCGACGCCGACCTCGAGCACCTGGTGCTGCTGCACCGGACGGCGGTGGAGGACGTGCCGCGGGCGATTGCCCCCTTTCAGGGGCGGGTGGTGGTGGGCGTCGGCAAGCTGCTCCGCCTCTACGACCTGGGCAAGAAGAAGCTGCTGAAGAAGTGCGAGAACAAATCGATTGCGAACTGCATCAGCACGGTGAACACCTACGGCAATCGCATCTTTGTGAGCGACATTCAGGAGAGCTACTTCTTTCTGCGGTACAAGGCGGCGGAGAATCAGCTGATAGTCTTCGCCGACGACAGCACGCCGCGCTGGGTGACGGCCACGGCGGTGCTCGACTACAACACCGTCGCCAGTGCGGACAAGTTTGGCAACCTGGCCNTGCGGTACAAGGCGGCGGAGAATCAGCTCATAGTCTTTGCCGACGACAGCACGCCGCGCTGGGTGACGGCCACGGCGGTGCTCGACTACAACACCGTCGCCAGCGCGGACAAGTTTGGCAACCTGGCGATCATCAGGCTGCCGGAGGACGTCAACGACGACGTGGACGACGACCCCACCGGCCTCAAGTCGCTCTGGGACCGCGGCTGGCTGGGCGGCGCCTCGCAGAAGGCCGCCTCCATTGCCTCCTTTCACCTCGGAGACATGGTGCTCTCCCTGGTGAAAGCGACTCTCATTCCGGGCCTCTCCGAGGCGCTGCTCTACACGACGATCAGCGGAGCGGTCGGTGTCCTGGTCCCTTTCACCTCAAACGAAGATCGGGATTTCTTTCAGCACCTGGAGATGCACATGCGGTCGGAGAATGCACCGCTGTGTGGGCGTGACCACCTCGCCTACCGCTCGGTGTACTTTCCGGTGAAGCACGTCATTGATGGCGATCTGTGCGAGCAGTACAATTCGATTGAGCCGGGGAAGCAGCGGTCCATTGCCGAGGAGTTGGATCGGGTGCCGGCGGAGGTGAGTGATTGTTTGCTGTTTCGTATTTTGCGTTTTTTTCAAACCAAATCATTTTTTGCAGATTTCAAAGAAGCTCGAGGACATGCGGACGCAGTATGCCTTCTAGGTTGCTCAACAAGTAAGCAATGAAGTTTTGGGAGAATTTTGTTTTGCTATTTTAGTTGAAACTGTTTTGTTGTGCGATAATGATGAGCTTCCTTCTAAGTCCGTGTTTCAGCTGAAACCATCTCTTTGATTACACTTTAGAACCTGAGCACTATTTTAGAGCTTGCTTAGGCAAACGCTCTGATTTTGTTTTTGGAATTGTGCTAATCTTTGTTTACTTTTTGTAGATTTGCTTTTGACTTCGGCGCTTTGGCGGCACTTTTCGCTTCATTTCAGTAAGTGTACTTTTTTCCCATTTTTTTTAGTTTTGTACCTTGGTCTTTTAATGATGATCTACCTTCTAAGTCCGTGTTTCAGATGAAACATTCTTTGATTACTCTTTAGAACCTGAGCACTTTTGCTCTTTGCAACCTTTTGTTGGTTTTTAACAATGTGATTGACTAATGTTCTATTTTGTATTGCAGTATAAACTCATCTGAACACTTTTGGTTTACTCATTGTACAGCTGTCCATCGTTGGAAAAAATGGTAAGTTCAATCTTTTTTTCAATTTTTAGTTTATCGGCATAATTTACTTCAATGATGATCTACCTTCTAAGTCCGTGTTTCAGATGAAACCATTTTGATTACCATTTAGAACCTGACGCCTAATTAGCTACTTTACGCTTTTATTACTCTTTACGACAACAGACTGACTAACTGTGCCCCTTTTTACAATCTTTACTACCAATTGCAGTTTATCATCAGCATCGACATCAGCACCATCAGCAGCAGCATCATCATCACCAAATCATAAAACAAAGCTAGTAAACAAAATACAAACAAAAATCGTCTTTTGTGGTGTGGTAGTCTGCGGCCCACAGAAGCGTGTGCGAATACTTATCTCTGTAAAATATAAATATAAAAACCCCTCCTTGTACAAAAAAAACTCACTCACATTATCTACTACCCCAGCTAATGCAAACTCTCGAGTAGGCAGTGTACGCGATTCATTCATCAAAAAGTTTTGCCGTTTTTGCTTTGCACTGCCGGTTCTTTCTTAGCACACACAGGCAGCCAAGTGAAAAAGAAGAGCGCCTGTCGTCTAGTTAAAGTAGGAGGAAAGGCAGACGCCGAACCTTGCTTCCTTGGCGGCAGCGGTTTAGCGAACGGCAGCAGAGAAGATCCCGAGAGGGAAAGTGGAACAGAGTGGAAAGGAAGAGAAAGAGACGTGACTGACACAGACTTCTTCCGCCTCTTCGGCGCGCGGTCTGTTCAGCGGTCTGAATTAGTCTCACTCTTTTTCTTCCTTCTTCTCTCCCACACAGTCGAGTTCCCGGTCGACCGGACACTACGACTACTACTGCTACTACTACTGCTACAGCAGCGTACTACTTTTTATTCCCGCTATGTATTATTCTTCTACCGCTGATGCTGCATCTCTTCCTCAGTCCTCTCACCCTCTCCTTTCCCTAATCATAATGACGCTAATATCGGCGACAGCGGTGGCGGCGGTAATAGGTGCTGCTGGTGGTGGTGGTGGTGGTGAACAGACAAGACAACACACGGCCTCCTGTCCTGTCCTCCTGTCTGTTTTACGGTCAGCAACCACCACCACCGCCGCCGCCACCGTCACCGTCACCCTGGCGTTCTATATAGCACACATTTTGGAGCAGCGTTTCTGGAACAGCAGCAGCAACGCTTCCCCTGCCTAGCTCTACTTGGACTGCTCCAGCACGCACACACAATGGAAGCTCGGGCGGAACCACCAGAGATAGAGAGAGAGAATGAGAATGAGAATGGGCCGCTGGGGCGCGACACGACGACGACGACGACGAGCAAGAAGAAAGCAAGCAAGCAGTTCGCCGATTCTTGGGTGACCGACCGGTCGACAGAGCAGAGACAGACAGAGACAGTCTGCAATATGGCGGAAACGGGGCAAACTAAAGAGTGACTGTCTGTCTGTCGGCAGCTAACCACCACCACCACCCCAATCGACTATATGGAACGTTTCCACTTCCTCCCCCTCTCTTGGTGAACTCCAGCAAGTGTCTGTCAGTCAGTCAGTCTGCCGAGTTCAGTCCTCAGACTTCAGAGTTCAGTTCTAGACACAGTGTCTGACACTTTTCCCTTCTCACAGGGAGAGAGAGACTATCTCCTGGCTACACTCCAGAGATAGTCGTTGTGGTGGTGGCAGTGTGTCGCTCGATCACACTTGCGCTCGCGCCCAAAATGCAAGAATGAAGAATGAGGCAGAATGCGAGAATAGTGCTGCTGCTGCTGCTGCCATTGCCGTTGCGATTGCTGCTGGTGCTCTATGAGCGAGCGGCCGTCTTTGGTAGTGTCAGCGAGCGGTGTTCTCTTCTGTTCCTGCCAAAGGAAGAGGAGCTTTTGCTGTTCCATTGCGCCAGAATCTCACTCTCTCAATGAGAGTGACTGAATTCTATCTCTCCCTGTAGTTGGTAGTAGGAGAGGAGTCTGCTGTGGTTGGATCGTCGCCGTCGTCGTCATCCGCAGTCTGCAACTGCTGCCTCGCACTCTCTTTGTGCTCTCTCTCTCTCTCTCTCTCTCTCTCTCTCTCTCTCTCGGTCGTTCTCATTCGATCGTGTGTGCTTGTCCTCTGTGCTCTTTTCCTCTGCTCTCCCGATCTTCATTCATTCATTGACCACCATGTTCAGGCGGCCACACTGTGGCTGCTGCTGTTGGTGAGCAGTGAGCGGTGAAAGACGGTAAAATCCTGCTGCTGCTGCTGATGGTGGTGGCGGTGGTGATGATGATGCTGATGCTGCTGATGCTGCCTGGCTGTGTCTGCTGTTTCTACTACTTCTGCTACTTCTGCCGCTGCTGAGAGACTTCGAAGTCGAGCAGGCGACGACGACGACGACAACTACTTCTGCTGCTGTTTCTCCTGCTGCCTACTTTTCTACTGCCTCCTCTCTTGTGTGTCCTGCCTAAGTTTGTTTCTGCTGCTGCTGAAGCCTCAACTACAGCAACTCACTGAGAAATACACACACACAGACTCAGCCACTGAACGAGAGTGAGTAAGAGGAAGAAGAAGAGAGTGAGAGAGTAAAGAGAGGGAAGCGAGAAAAAGAAAGAGACAAGCAAAGGGAGAGAGCTGATGATGATGATGATGATGGTGATGCCGCCGCCGCCGCCGCCGCCGTCGCCGACGATGCTCTGATGCCGACGACGATGCTGCTGCTGCCGATGCTGCCGATGATGATGCTCCAGTGGTGATGAGCATCTTCTCCTTCTTCTGCTGCTGATCCGCCGCTACTGTCGTCTACCACAGTCTGCACCACCACCACCACGACCACCACCTCCTCCTTCTTCTACTTCTTCAGCAGCCACCACCACCACAAACACCGAGGATCTTCGAAGACGATCATCATCATCACCAGCAGCCGCTTCAGCACGAGCACCCCAGCATCAACACTGCCGAACCGAAAAACTCACGCACAGACTGTTCTGTGCTGTGCTGCTGCTGCACTTGGTGACTTCTTCTTCTTCTTCACTCACTCATTCACTCACTCACACACTCTCTGTGCACTGTGTGTGTGTTAATGAGATGTCGTTGTATCGTTGCTGGTGACATTGTCCACCACCACCATCACTCGGATGAGCTGAAGTACCTCGCCCTCGTGCACCACCACCACCACCACCACCTTCTCCATCACCACCACTACCATCAGGTCACCTGTGCATCATCATCAGTGCTGTAGCAGCAGGAGGAGGTTACCGCTGTATGTTGTGCTGGTGGGAGGTTGTTTCTTGGCCTTTCTCCCATACCACACAGTGTCGAAGTGCATCTTATCAATCACAATTGTCGTACAAGTGTGGACCACTTTCTTTCTATTCATCATTTTCACTTCAGAACCAGCGGTGATAGCTGAAGAATTCCTGCTGAAGACAAAGCGCACCAACCCCACTTTTTCTTCTTCATCACCATACCATCCGCCACTACATTGTGATCTACCATCACCACCACCACCAACTCATCAACTCTCCATCCCATCATCACTTCATTGATACCTTCATCATCATCATCATCTTCAAATCCAGTCTTTCCGCTGCTGCAGGTGTGTGCAGGTGTGTTTGTGTGTTTGCTCCTCTTCATCACCTCCTCCTCATCATCCCCTACAGCAATCTCTAGTAATAACTACTACTAATACTACTACTTGAACTCCACAACTTTCATCCCATAATCTGGGTAAGTGTTGCCAATCTCAGCACACAAACAGTTCAGAGACTTCTCTTCAAAGTGTTGCTCCTACTTTTCATCTCCTTCTTCTTCTTCTTCTTCTCTTGTACCAAAGCATCGTCAGCACACACTAGCTAACTAAAATCTCACTGAGTCCATTAGTCATGTTATTAGCAGCAGCAGCAGCCACATCGAATCGTGTCGCCTCATCAGAAGCCAGTGATTTTCAGTCTCCTTCTCTTTTTCTTTTTTTGGTGTTCAATCACCAGCAATCACTCACTATACCCAATAGCTGTGACCACCACCAGCACCAGCACAACCAGCACGTTGATAAGCAGTGTGAGTGAGTGAGAAATAGAAGCATCCATTTTCGGTGCTGCTGGTAACCAATATTGGCGATCGAGGGAGATTGCCATCGAAGCTATCCTCTCTCGTCGGCACAGACACACAGTCGTCGGCACACTGACAGGGGCAGCACTTGCAGCACTTGCAGACAATCGTGCAATTATATCGCCATTAATAGTCTCTCTGTGTTTGGTGATGCCGCACTGGAGCATCAACACAGAGCAGAGCAGCAGCAATCCTCGACGATGCCGCCGCCGCCGACGATTAGCGGCATTTGCACTCTAATAATTTTCCAGTTTGACTGTAGGCACACTGACAGTGTCTCTCTCTCTCACAGTTTGTCACCACTGCCAGCACCTCCCGTTATCAGGAGTCAGTCAGTCAGCTTTGTCAATCTGGTCGCCAGATTTGATGGCAGACTTCTCTCTTTTCTCTGCGACTGTGTGTACTGTGAAAGCTGTTAGCTTTAGATTT